ATCAAGCTCCTTTACATTATTTAAATCTTAAGGAGTAAAGTAGATGATGAGGGGTACTCCACAAGACACCGTACTGTAGTACTTGCTGGCGGTACACCGTCTGCCCATTATGGCTGGCACACGAGGGAGGGACTACAGCACACTATCATTCTACCTAATGGATATTCCTGGTTAAGTTATCTCATTAAGGAACTTACGACTAAAATAATTAATTCATTCTTAATAATACATAGTAAATGGTATAATGACATCATTTTTCTCGCATAAGAACGTCTTCTTCACACAAGTTTAACCTTTAATGAAGTGTAAGATTATGAATAAATGATTCACATGACCTCAGGTAAAATGTATATTCTCACCGCCCAATTAGGTGCATATTTACCTGTGTTCTTGGCTTTTGGTGTAATCAAGGTCCATAATAGAAGGACATATTTGGTAACGGCGATGTTGTCGTCTCGAGCATATTAAGAATAAAAACAGCACCCGGAGTGACCAGAGGGTGACCTCCGGCTGGGTAAGGAGAGATGGCCATGGCCCTCCTGGGTACACCTCCTTGTGTGTGTTCGTTGTCTTGTGTTGTAAGAGGCTGACCCACAACACAACAAACACAGCACAGTTACAAGAATAGCGAGGTCATCTTATAACTAAATTTTGCGCTTGTGAGACCCCACTTGGATTACGCAGTTCAGTTCTGGTCACCGTATTACAGAATGGATATAGAATCCTTGGAAAGAATTCAGGTTGGTTTAATTTGCACTCCCTCGAGAGACGTAGAGTGAGGGGCGATATGATCGAGGTGTATAAATGGAAGGCAGGGCTAAACAAAGGGAACATTACAAAGGTACTCAAACTATCCAACCAGGAGCGAACTCGTAACAATGGTTTTATATTAGACAAATTTAGATTTAGGCGCGAAACAGGTAAACAATGGTTTGGAAATAGAGTAGGGGACGAGTAGAACAAGTTACCAAATGTCATGATTAACTCGAATACGCTGGATAGCTTCAAACATAGGTTGGATGGATATATGTGACTGCCCAGTATGGGCCAATTGGCCCGCTGCAGTTTCCTCCATTCTTATGTTCTTAACACAACACACACCACACAACACCAAATACAAAACACAACAAACACCACACCACACCCTGTAACAACTCGTGTGTGTGTGTGTGTGTGTGTGTGTGTGTAATTGTGCCGGCATTAGTATGTGGAGGGTTAAGCTGTACACATTAGCTATGCACGTGTGAGTGGGTGGGCGTGTAAACATAAAAAAACTTGTTCAGGGATTATATCTCCCGAGAGACAAAGGAGATCACTCGAGTTCACAGATCCCGTACCACCTCAGTGAGTCTGTGTCTTAAACAATTGTTCACCGACATTCACACAACAATACGGTCGGGTCGGGTCGGGTCGGGTCGGGTTAACATATAATAGTCATATGTGTAAATAGTTTACTGACATTGACAAGACACTTATTAATGGTATTATCAGAAGACACCATTAACCAGGATCTCGTAAAATTAATCAATCAACATTATATACAGACACAAGCAGTGAGAGGGAAACAAACAAGTCAACCCAAAAGACACTCACCTAAAAATAATCTGATGCCCGAAAAAAAAAATTATCATTCAGTTCATTTAACATGTCCACTGAATTGAACAAACACAGCCAATTAAAATACCCCGTAACTTCTTATCTAGAAATACAATGACAACCAGTTAATGAAAGTGGAGAAACTTACATCCCCCAGGTATTAGAAACTGATTGTCTGCTCAGAGTAATGACTAGACACGACCTGACCTGACCTCACCTAACCTGACCAATCAGAAGTTTTAACTCTTAACCATAGCAGCTCCTGGGGGATAGATTACCACAACGACAATTTACTGCTGTTGCTCTGGAGATCAGTTTGAGGTCTCTGTTAATAGGATGTAAAAATGCGTAGTGGGAGAGTAGCGTTAAAAGAGCTGACCATAGACTGTATACCTGCCACTAACACCTGACCATAGACTGTATACCTGCCACTAACACCTGACCATAGACTGTATACCTGCCACTAACACCTGACCATAGACTGTATACCTGCCACTAACACCTGACCATAGACTGTATACCTGCCACTAACACCTGACCATAGACTGTATACCTGCCACACTAACACCTGACCATAGACTGTATACCTGCCACTAACACCTGACCATAGACTGTATACCTGCCACTAACACCTGACCATAGACTGTATACCTGCCACTAACACCTGACCATAGACTGTATACCTGCCACTAACACCTGACCATAGACTGTATACCTGCCACTAACACCTGACCATAAACTGTATACCTGCCACTAACACCTGACCATAGACTGTATACCTGTCATTAACACTCGCGTATAGACTGTATATCTGCCACTAACACCTGACCATAGACTGTATACCTGCCACTAACACCTGACCATTAACTGTATACCTGTCACTAGCACCTGACTGTATACCTGCCATTAACACTGATGATTATGACATTGTTTTCTTTCTATCGTCTAAGAAACTCCTAATACAGGCAGGTAGCATGACCACCTACTGACATAAGAGATGGATGAAGTAGTAATTTACACACCGTGGCAGGAGAATCCAGTACCAACACCCCCCCAGCAGGCTACTGAGGCCAGACATAATGATGGAAGATCAAACTGGATATACCACATTTATCACTCTTAAGTATCAATGAACCTCGAGCCACACCCACTGAAGTATTATTATCGTTTATTAGGATATCGAACATGTTTGGGGGAAGTGAAAACTGTTGTATAAAATTAGAAAATAAACTGACGTGGTGAAGAATTGTCTCGTGTAATCTGGTAATCATCTCAGAAACTCACCAGCGAGTAAACACAACACAGAGAGTACTCGTATATGAGAACGAGTAACTCACCTCATGTGGAGGAGAATGTTGTCAACTAGCCGCTAACATGGTATTTTCAGCTCCATTGTTTACACTGAGCTTAAAACAGTTGACTTGCTACACAGTATGTGGCATTATGTGTACAAGGAAAAACATATAATCCTCAAATCAGAGAGAATGTGAACAAATGAGGTGGTTTCTCGGTACTAACGATCCTCATATTGCAGCGTTCAGCCACCCCGCAATCACTCGCTGCCTGCCGACCACCCGTCCTCTTAATGCAATTTTGGGCACTATCTTTCGCCCCCCTGCAGGTTGGATCTCTTAATCTCTGGATTCGTACACATCATGAATATGAAACACTTTAATTATCAACGCATTATCAGGCACCTTAGTAGAGAGACCAGTTTTTAAATTGCATGATAGTACCTCTACCATCTTATTAATACCACCAGGGTTAAACACATCTTAGATCTCTTTTTTCCCTCCTTGTCTGTGTTTGTCCTCGCCACCACCACCACCACTTACATGTATTACCATTAAGAATTCATTTTACATACACTAGTTTGACTATCATCGTTCTAATTACCTCCATATGTTAGCTACGGACCTTACCAAATGGCTGTGATATGTTAAGTAGGAGGTTCTGAAGCCATAAATATACTAATTAGTGGATGATGCAGTACAGATTATAAAAAAAATAAATAAAACCACGTTTCTACTCTCGGTAAATCACTTAAGCAGGGTAACGCCTCGATCAATTTCACCACATGCCAATATTAAGAGCGAGAAAGGAACATGGTAGTCTTAGCAAACTTATGAATTATGTGATAAGTCTCTCGCTACTATTATTTTGATAAGTGTGTTCCTAAATGAAGGACTCTGCCTCAAGATGACGTTCAGTTGCTCATCGTCTCAGACAAGGAATTATTTACATCCTAGAAGGTAAGATTTTTTTTACACCACCAGATCACTGAACATCTTCCCCTTTTGAGTTGTGTTTATCAATGATTAATTATCTGGGAACACTGGCTGGTTATCTGTGGCCTTCTGTGGAGACTCGCTGATACTGAGGGACCTTCTTTTAGATACTGTCTGGTTGAGTGTTTGACTATGGACTAATGTACTCCACTTGAGTGTAGTCTACTTGGACACTGTACCACAACTTGAGTGTGGCCTCTGTGACACTATGTGTAAGTAGGAGTGTTCACACTGTCTAAGATACTGGTTAGTGGATGTGCAGTACAGATGTATAAAAAAGTAAATAAAACACGTTTGTACTCTCGGTAAATCCTTAACAGGGTAACGCCTCGGCAATTTCCCACATGCCAATGTTACTTGAGTGTGGCCCTCTGTGGACACTGTCTACTTGAGCGTGGCCCTCTGTGGACACTGTCTACTGTGGCCCTCTGTGGACACTGTCTACTTGAGTGTGGCCCTCTGTGGACACTGTCTACTTGAGTGTAGCCCTCTGTGGACACTGTCTACTTGAGTGTGGCCTCCTCGTGAACACTTGACGAATGATCAGACCGCGGCACCAGTGGATCTTGTCTTGCTTGAGAATGTGACTGACTGCGACACATTAACAGGCGACACCAATGGGGGGCTCCTGGTCGATCCCAATTAGATAATAAAGACAATTATGCGAGCTGCAGATTGTGGGTAACTGATCTGGTGGAGACGACCCCCTGGGAGATGGTTCTGATGCTGGAGTTTAAGAAAGCTAACCTGGCTCCTGGGACTAACAGCTTGAGGGAGATAACCATTTATTGGTTGTTGGGTGGCTAAGGTGGGTGGCTGCTGGGTGGCAGAGGTGATGTGCTGCTGGGTGGCAGAGGTGATGTGTTGCTGGGTGGCAGAGGTGATGTGCTGCTGGGTGGCAGAGGTGATGTGCTGCTGGGTGGCAGAGGTGATGTGCTGCTGGGTGGCAGAGGTGACGTGCTGCTGGGTGGCAGAGGTGACGTGCTGCTGGGTGGCTAAGGTGATGTGCTGTTGGGTGGCAGAGGCATGTGCTGCTGGGTGGGCAGAGGTGACGTGCTGCTGGGTGGCTAAGGTGACGTGGGGTTGCTGGGTGGCAGAGGTGACGCTGCTGGGTGGCTAAGGTGGGTGGTTGCTGGTGGGCAGAGGTGACGTGCTGCTGGGTGGCAGAGGTGACGTGCTGCTGGGTGGCAGAGGTGATGTGCTGCTGGGTGGCAGAGGTGATGCTGCTGGGTGGCAGAGGTGATGTGCTGCTGGGTGGCAGAGGATGTGCTGCTGGGTGGCAGAGGTGACGTGCTGCTGGGTGGCAGAGGTGATGTGCTGCTGGGTGGCAGAGGTGATGTGCTGCTGGGTGGCAGAGGTGACGTGCTGCTGGGTGGCAGAGGTGACGTGCTGCTGGGTGGCTAAGGTGACGTGGCTGCTGGGTGGCAGAGGTGACGTGCTGCTGGGTGGCAGAGGTGACGTGCTGCTGGGTGGCAGGTGATGTGCTGCTGGGTGGCAGAGGTGATGTGCTGCTGGGCAGCAGAGGTGATGTGCTGCTGGGTGGCAGAGGAGGTGTGGCTGCTGGGTGGCAGAGGTGACGTGCTGCTGGGTGGCAGAGGTGATGCTGCTGGGTGGCAGAGGTGATGTGCTGCTGGGTGGCAGAGGTGACGCTGCTGGGTGGCAGAGGTGACGTGCTGCTGGGTGGCTAAGGTGACGTGGCTGCTGGGTGGCAGAGGTGACGCTGCTGCGGCTAAGGTGGGTGGCTGCTGGGTGGCAGAGGTGATGTGCTGCTGGGTGGCAGAGGTGACGCTGCTGGGTGGCAGAGGTGATGTGCTGCTGGGTGGCAGAGGTGATGTGCTGCTGGGTGGCTGAGGTGACGTGGCTGCTGGGTGGTTGAAGTGAGGTGCTGCTGGGTGGCTGACGCGAGGTGCTGGGTGGCCAAGGTGCGCTATTGTGTGGCAAAAGTGACCTATTAGTTGGCCGACGTCAGTTGTTGGGCGGCCAAGATCAGTTGCTGGGTGGCAAAGGTCAGGTGCTGGGTGGCCGAGGTCAGGTGAGGTGCTGCTGGGTGGCTGACGCGAGGTGCTGGGTGGCCAAGGTGCGCTATTGTGTGGCAAAAGTGACCTATTAGTTGGCCGACGTCAGTTGTTGGGCGGCCAAGATCAGTTGCTGGGTGGCAAAGGTCAGGTGCTGGGTGGCCGAGGTCAGGTGCTGGGTGGCCGAGGTCAGGTGCTGGGTGGCCGAGGTCAGGTGCTGGGTGGCCGAGGTCAGTTGCTGGGTGGCCGAGGTCAGTTGCTGGGTGGCCGAGGTCAGTTGCTGGGTGGCCGAGGTCAGTTGCTGGGTGGCCGAGGTCAGTTGCTGGGTGGCCGATGTGCGCTATAAGGTGGGTGATATGACCTGGTGTTAAGGAGCTACTGGGTTGTGCTCAAGAGATCCTGAGAGAAGATAATTTCGAAAACGTACAATCGGACTTAAGTAGATGCGCATAAGAGTAAGCATTTAATCTCCTCCCGGTATACGAATTCATCTGTTAGCATATTAATGGTATATTATTAATATCTAATATACTTCAGGTATGCGATTTCAACTCTTAGTATGATAATTATATACAATTCTTGAGTTTAATTTTCTACTGGTATGTGATTTTTAAAGCATTAGCGTAATGTTAATTGATTATTTTATTCTTTATATATTCCAAGCTTCAAGAGATCTAGAATTTGGAATCACCTAAAGATTAGCCTCCTGTTTACTTCACCTGCTGATTAAAAATGATAACAGGTGAAATAAAATGGAACGTTAATCTTGAAGTGATCCAAAAGTTTTATGCTTAATATATATCGTTATAACACTCTAAAAAATTTCAAAGTTAAAAGGCAAACTATGAAGTATGTTTTTATGTTACTTGATAGTGAGAGAAGTTGGCCCATAGTGTTAAATCACCTGGTGTACCTACAATCAATGGCAGGTATGGGAGTTGCAGGCACCATACCTTAAGAATTATAATCAATGTATCGGTGTTAATGCTTCGTGCCACAGTCCGCAGGCATATCATGTTCCTGGGTCGTTGTGTAGTACAGTCTGTGTGTGTGTGTGTGTGTGTGTGTGTGTGTGTGTGTGTGTGTGTGTGTGTGTGTGTGTGTGTGTGTGTGTGTGTGTGGTCATATACGAGATATCAGCTCTTAAAAAAATAAACATTTTACTGGAATTATCTATAAAATAAATTAATAATACAAATCTAAAAAAAATCAACGTAAGAAACGAAAAATAAATGAATCTTGGTTACATTAGATCTTGTAAGAATATTAGTTAATTATTTATATATTGTTGTCTTCTTGATTCTTATTCTGATGTGAATTAATGTTCTTCGTCCATTACAAATCATGTTTATAAATCAAATCGCAATAAACACAAAATTTATCGTACAGAATATTAAGAAACAGTTTATTCATGTATGATATAAAACAGGAAATTTATGATGGAAAAAAAATCGGTGGTACACAATGTATTACAAGTATTATTTTGGTTAAGAAGTCGTAGTAAATCGTAACGGAGCGACGAATGATTATGTGAATGGTAATTATAATATTCTCGTAAATATATTGTTAAGAGTCTTCAGGGAGTCTTATGCAAGGTAGCTCAAGGATTTTAAACTATTTTGATAAAGTTGATATTCTACTATTACTACTACTACTACTACTACTACTACTACTACTACTACTACTAATAATAATAATCTTAGTATGAAGATATATTTTTAGGCAGTAGATTCTAATTAGTATATAATGTTCGAGTATTTATCCTACTTCTTCCTCTCCTCTCTTCCTCCTCCCCCTTCTTCTATTCCTTCAACTCTGTCTTCCTCGTCATTTCTCTTATTTTTCTTATCCTCGGTCTTTCCCTCCCTTTCCTTCTCCCTTTTCGTATTCTCCTCCTCGTCTTCATCTTCCTCCCTCTCCATCACATAGTAGTTCCTCCATAACGACAGGTAAAGTATGCATGGAGCCAGGTGGGGTAGCTGGGCACCTAACATTATGCATCACTAATAAAGCACTATGTGACGAATTGTTTTCACACCAGACGTCTGTGAAATTTCATAATAAAGCAAAAAGTTGCTTAGCTTGATTAATTTCGACGCTGCGGTGGGTCTCTTACGAGCCTCTCAACACACATAAGGATCTTAAGCCTTAGGTACCGAGGCCTTAAGGCGGAATATGTTATGTCTTCAAAATATGGACTGGCTGGGGCTGCATTTCGTCTCGCAAGGAAGGTTGTGTTTACCCATAGCTTAGGGTAATCCACTGTCTAAAACCATGACATTTGTTTGACATAAAAGGTTGTGTACCACGTTTGTCTTCTTAAATGTATCTGATTACCTCTCCTTCCCTGCCACGATGCACTCGTCTGCTACGCGTTGAACTGTGAACTATTATGACGAATGAGGAACCTGTCCACGTTCTCTTCCTCAAATACCTGTGATTAGAGGAACCAAAGGGTTTGTCATTAGGACCTACGGAGGTACACGACTTAGTGAGGGCTACCATCCCGGCCTGCTGGAACGAAAGAGCGAGCCTACAGCGTGACCGACCCAGCCTGGCGGTGGCTCCTACAGGTGAGATGATCCTTGTGGACTCAGGGACATGGTCATGGGAGGGAGGGAAGGAGGGAAGGACGAGAGGGAAGAATGGGGGAGGAAGAAAGGGAGGGAGGGAGGAGAGAGATGAGGAAGAAGGGACTGGGGAGCGATGGAGAGAAGGAAGGGAGAAAGTTCCTAAGGACACTCGTATTAAGTAAAGGAAAACCTCTGCCTCCAAAAACAGAACGATATTTTGTCATTCTTACCTGAAATCTCCCTTCCAGGTGTGTTTTTATATTACCACACCTCCTTCAAAACCCTTCTTTATATTTTGGTTTACTGTAACTAAACATTCATTTATCTTCAACATTATACCAAAAGGTTGAAATAGAGCTTTTTTTTTTTTACTCTTTTGTTTATACGCGGAATTATTATGTTCCGTCAACTACTACAATACTGCGAGTCACAAACATCACCTGAGTTTGATAAATATAAACATTAAAATGAAATGAAAGGATAAGGTAAGTAGTGAGGAAAGAAGGATAATGGTGAGGGGTGAGGAAAGGAGGATAATGGTGAGGAGTGAGGAAAGGAGGATAATGGTGAGGAGCGAGGGAAGGAGGATAATGGTGAGGAGTGAGGGAAGGAGGATAATGGTGAGGAGTGAGGAAAGGAGGATAATGGTGAGGAGGAGAGGAAAAGGAGGATAATGGTGAGGAGGAGGAAAGGATGGATAAGGGGCAAGAGGAAAGAAGGATACGTGGAGGAGTGAGGAAAGGAGGATAATGGTGAGGGTGAAGAAAGGAGAAGGATAGGCTGGTTGTGTTTGGGCAGGACATGTTCAACGAAGAGAAGAACATAAGCTGATAAGGAGAGAAGGAGGGAAGAAACAGGAGGAAGAAGAGGAGGAGGAGAAGAGAAAAAGTAAAGGTGCTTAACTTATCCTTCTAACTAACACCTCCTTTCAACCATTTCGTCCCCCCCCTTACCAATGTGTGTGTGTGTGGTCGTTGTTGCAATCTCACCCTCAACGACTCTTGTTATACTTATTTGGCTTTTATATTTCCCAATAACCAACCTCCAGTACTTGTTCCTCTCTCTCTCTCTCTCTCTCTCTCTCTATTAAGTAATTTCCAGTAATCCAGTTAATTATTGTTACCTGTAGTCTTATGATCAATCTTTATCTTACTTTAATCTTATGTTTATCATTGGTAAAAAAAATAATAAATTGTAAGATTATTTCATTCTTATGTGTATTTTTTTTTCATTTTCTTTAGAGTGAATATTATTAAAGATTTTGGTATGTTCAGGTTGTAGGGTGGTAATGCCTAATGATCTGGACGAGCTATGAACGACCTCATCCACAATTTGAGAGCTGCCAGCGAAATAATTTTTGATGGCAATTAGTTTGGAATGATCGATGTTTAAACTCGTAAATTCCTACGTAAATAGCTGGGAGTTAGGGCGAAACCTTTACTTTATCAATTAAGAGAGGAAGACTGACTAGGAGGCGTGTAATACCAGCTTATGCGTGACGTACCGCTCCAAAACTTTTCATTAATCCATTTTGAGTCGAGTGTATACCACAGTCCTCCTCTGCCTGACTTGCTTCACATCTTGCCTCCCTTGTGAATTATCTGTTTGTTGATGATAAAGCGGTGACTTAACTGGCGGCTCTAATCATTACCCGAGTCAGTGGTGGCGGCGGAGGGTCCACACCAACAGCAGAGCAAGAAGAAGAAGTTGTTGCTAATTCGACAATGAATCTCGTGTGCTCGACTGGAAAAACTTGGCATTTATCACCACTAAGAATGTTCCCCAAGACACTGTTATGAAGGAGCTGTACTCTCTCTCTCTCTCTCTCTCTCTCTCTCTCTCTCTCTCTCCCTGGCTACCACGTTTCAACCCTTGCTCCAGGATTCTCCGGCAGGAATGTTGGAGAGAGGTTGTTGGAGAGAGGTTGTTAGAGAGTGGCTGTTAGATAGAGGTTGTTAGAGAGAGGTTGTTAAAGAGAGGTTGTTGGAGAGAGGGTGTTGGAGAGAGGTTGTTAAAGAGTGGTTGTTGGAGAGAGGTTGTTGGAGAGAGGTTGTTGGAGAGAAGTTGTAACTGCTTTTAACTTTCCTATTCTTCAATATTCAAATAAATAAAACGAGTCTTATATAATTTAAGACTAATAATTCGGGTTGACAGTACGATGAGGGTGAGGTGGTGGACTAGTGGGGAGGGTGGTGGACTAGTGTAGAGGGGTGGTGGATTAGTGTAGGAGGGGTGGTGGGACTAGTGTAGGAGGGTGGTGGTACTAGTGTAGGAGGGTGGGTGGGACTAGTGTAGGAGGGTAGGACTAGTGTAGGAGGGTGGTGGACTAGGTGTAGGAGGGTGGTGGACTAGTGTAGGAGGGTGGTGGATCAGTGTAGGAGGGGTGGTGGACTAGTGTAGCAGGGTGGTGGACTAGTGAAGGGTGGTGGACTAGTGTAGAGAGTGGTGGATTAGTGTAGGGAGGTGTATTAGTGTAGCAGGGTGGTGGACTAGTGTAGGGAGGGTGGTGGACTAGTGTAGGAGGGGTGGTGGACTAGTTCATAGCAGGGTGGTGGACTAGTGTAGGAGGGTGGGTGAATTAGTGTAGCAGGGTGGTGGGACTAGTGTAGAGGGTGGTGGACTAGTGTAGGAGGGTGGTGGGACTAGGTGTGCAGGGTGGTGGGACTAGTGTAGGAGGGTGGACTAGTGTAGCAGGTGTGATCAGTGTAGGAGGGTGGTGGACTAGTGTAGGAGGGTGGTGGACTAGTGTAGGAGGGTGGTGGACTAGTGTAGGAGGGTGGTGGACAAGCGCTTACTTTCCTACACTGTAACACCGACACAAAATGGCTGCTGTTGTGTTCTCTTCGCTGGCCCAGGATTTGTAGCTCATCACAACTACACTCTCCCACACGGTGATGCACGAACAGACTGAATAAAGTAGGTCCCAGTGTTGTTAGGTTAGGTTAGGTTAAGGTTAGGTTCAGGTTCAGGTTCAGGTTAGGTTAGGTTCAGGTTAGGTTAGGTTCAGGTTCAGGTCAGGTTAGGTTCAGGTTAGGTTAGGTACAGGTTAGGTTAGGTTAGGGTCAGGTTAGGTTCAGGTTAGGTTCAGGTTAGGTCAGGTCAGGTTAGGTTCAGGTTAGGTTAGGTTCAGGTAAGGTTCAGGTCAGGTTAGGTTAGGTTCAGGTCAGGTTAGGTTCATGTTAGGTTAGGTTCAGGTTAGGTTAGGTTAGGTTCAGGTTGTTGGTGGTTCTCATCGAAGAGATTTGAACGAGATTAAAGTGAGATTTACGCCGACGGTGCTACTCAATGTCAGATCAGCGCTTAGCAGCTAGGAGGCAGGTTTTTGCTTGCTCATTATGAACCAAAGAGATTATTGTCGTCGACTTTTCGGAAGATTAGAGGCTGAGAGGAGAAGATTCTGTGAAATTCCTGGATAAAAGTCGATGTAAATTATGGTTTATCTGTGAGTGATGCAAATTGTGTTGCCTCAGATGGTAATTATCTCGCGTTTTACTTAGTCCAATTAGCTGAATGTCGATCAACTGGACAATAACCAAAATGTAAAAATATAATGAGAACATTCACTTGCCTTCATATCCACCGTCAGGAGTATATATCCCGTCATGCAGGCTATAGGAAGAGCTTACTCGAGGATAATGTAACAAAAGCGATCCCCCAAATCGACAATTTCTTACCAGGCTGAGAGCTACAGGTACAAAAACACGTCCATTAATACGAGAACTGATTAAATCAAATGTCTTTCCTCATATCATTTAATTAAACCTAAACGTAATGTTGATTTAAATTTTCCTGAACGTCATCTTTGTATCTAAATATAAACCATTTCTTCATAAGACACGACTTTTTTACTTAGCTCTCATAAAACAGATGAATTATGTCAGGTTTACCACAATATTAACCAACTTATGACTTTTATATTCCCAGCCGGCTTGTTCTGCGGCGGTAAGGTCCATGTTGTTAAGAAATTCTGGCTCTGTTGTAACCAGATGACTTACACCAATATATTATGGCGCCGCCTCGTAATTCCCTCCTCCAGGTAAATAAAGTCTTTTCAAGCATGATATTATATTGTACAACACTCCGCTGAATCATAACCCCATAAACACACACCCTGCAACACATTCCCCGAAACACACCCCTGTGAAACACATCTCTTTATAAAATTCCTTTAAAACACAACCCCTGCAAGACACTCCCCCGAAACATACTCTTCAACACTCACGCTGCAACACTCACTCAAAACACAGCTCCTGCAATAATACCCATACCATATTTCTGTGGCAATATTTCCAATGCAATACTTCACTGCAATACGACCTCAACGTATCCCCTCTTAACACTCTTCCGATAACATTCTTATATCATGTCACCCTCAACACGCCACACCACGAGACACAACACAACAGACTACAAGACACACCACACCTAACCTACATTCATTCCACCAATCAATGGACTGCAATTGTGAAATGCAAGAGTTCTTAACATCCCTAAAGCACTGCCACTGTAACACTTGCTCCTGTAACGCTTGCCCCTCTAACGCTTCCCCCTGTAACGCTTCCCCCCCTGTAACGCTTCACCCTGTAACGCTTCCCCCTGTAACACTTCCTCCTGTAACACTTCCCCCTGTAACGCTTCCCCTGTAACGCTTCCCCTGTAACGCTTCCTCCTGTAACACTTGCTTCCTCCTGTAACACTTGCCCCTGTAAACACTTGCCCCTGTAACACTTCCTCCTGTAACGCTTCCTCCTGTAACCTTCCTCCTGTAACGCTTCCTCCTGTAACGCTTGCCCCTTCCCTGTAACACTTGCCCCTGTAACGCTTCCTCCTGTAACGCTTCCTCCTGTAACACTTGCCCTGTAACACTTGCCCTAACACTTGCCCTGTAACACTTCCCTCCTGTAACACTTGCCCCTGTAACCTAACCTTCCT